TGAACCATGTGTCAGCTTTGCCTTTGTATCATGCTGCTGTATTTTTACTTCCTTTCTCAATTTCATTCATAATAATTTCAAATACCACCTTGCAAGCATATTAGTTTAGAGTTTATTGAGATAGTATTGTTTTGGACATTTTACCAACAAGGAGCAAGCACACACTCTATCAGTCCTTCTTGCATCTTCTCTACTTCTATGTGCTACCTTCTAGGAAATACAGTCTTGAATAATAGTGTTTTTATGTTTTATAATTCTTTTTCATTTTTTCAAAAAATTATCTCCCTATACATATTTACAGTTGTCATCATCATAAATATTAGGTAAGAAGTTGGGAATTTGAGGCCAAAAGAAAAAACAAAATTTTCCTTTATTTTAAAACTGTCAGAAATGCATTGTCTATCTTAACCTAGGATAGAAGTACACAGCAAGAAAAGAGTATCCTTAACTGAAAGGGCACAGATGGAGCTCAAGGGGGGTACTGAGATAGGGTTGGGGATATGGATTTGTTACATGAGTTATTAATGCCATGGACAGATGGGTAGACAACACTATGATAGGAGCTATAAGAAGAGTTCGGGCCCCAGCACAAGAGACAGACAGCAGGATGAGGGCTGCAGAGAGGCAATCATGGCCCATGTGGCAGAGGGGGAGTCTCTTCTTATTCCTTCTGAGGACTGGGATGGTCTCATAGCATAAGACTGAAGTCAGGCTGTTATTTCCCAGACAAGAGGTGGATAAGAGGGTGGAGATCAGGGGTTGTAGCCACCAATAAATACCATGCACCAATACTTACTTTCCCAGATGAGAAACCCGGGAATCTGGAAGTCTGTTAGCTAGAGATTCATATACGGTGCTCTTGGTAGGGTGACATTAGTATCTGTGAGGAGAGAGGGCTGCCACAGGGTCCTGGTGGCCTGAGCAGCTACTGGGTGTGGTGATATATCATTTATGATTTATTAAAGCTTGCCTGAGGGTACAGAAAGCAAAGTTAGTCACACGACACAGAGCTAGGCAGTGGTGATGCACACCTTTAATATCAGCAGCCATACTAGCAAGTCACAGCGTCACGTAGTGGTGGCACACACCTTTAATTCCAGGACTTGGGAAACAAAGTCAGACAGATCTCTGTTAGTTCAAGGCCACACTGAGCTACATGAAATTTATCCCAGTGACATAAAGGTAATCTCAGTACTTGGGATCACATGCTTTAATCCCAGGATTGAGAGGTATAAAAAGAAGAAACAAAGTCAGTCTAGAAGAAATAGTCTCTAGCCACGTTAAGGAGAACATAGCAGTCTGAAGGAATGTGACAAGCAATAAAGTCAGGAGCAGTCTGAGGACCACCCCTTTGGGCTGAGCTGATGCAGAGGTAAGACCTCCTGACTGGCTGCTTTGCTTCTTTGATCTTCAGGTTGAAGCTCGAACCCCAATATCTGGCTCTGAGTCTTTCATTATTCACGTTACAGCTGGGTCATAACATTATATTCTTGTGCATACTATGTTTCTATTCTACTCCATACCTTTTTGTCCCATCTGTCCCTTCCTGTTCTGTTCAGTTCCTCTCCATTCTAATTCTACCTCATTAAGGAAAACCTTGGACTTGTCCTCTATGGTACCTACTATGTGTTGATAAAGTTACTTGTCCTCTATGGTACCTACTATATGTTGATAAAGTTACTTGTCCTCTATGGTACCTACTATGTGTTGATAAAGTTACTTGTCCTCTATGGTACCTACTATGTGTTGATAAAGTTACTTGTCCTCTATGGTACCTACTATATGTTGATAAAGTTACTTGTCCTCTATGGTACCTACTATGTGTTGATAAAGTTACTTGTCCTCTATGGTACCTACTATGTGTTGATAAAGTTACTTGTCCTCTATGGTACCTACTATGTGTTGATAAAGTTACTTGCCCTGTTGTTGATTGTTTTTTACTCTTCACTCCTTTGGCTTTTGTGGGGGGGGCAACCACCAAGCTCCCAAAATAAATACACATGAATTCTTATTCTTACTTATAAATGCACAGCTTTAGCGTGACTTGCTTCTCGCCAGCTTTTCTTGACTTAAAATAACCTATCTACCTTTTGCCTCTAGCCCTTTTCCTTTTCTTAATTTTGTAATCTTACTTTCACTCTTACTCTGTGGCTGGCTGTGTGGCTGGGTGACTGACCCCTAGAATCCGTCTCTCCTTGTTCTCTTACTCCGTTTTCTTCCCATATTTCTCTTCCTATTTTTCTCCCTGCCTCCAGCCCCACCTATCCTTTCTCCTTCATTGCTATTGGCCACTCAGCTCTTTATTAAACCAACCAGGAGTTTAAAACAGGCAAAGTAACACAGTTCCACAGAGTTAAACAAATGCAGCATAAAAGGATGCGATACATCTTTGCATCATTAAACAAATATTCCACAGCATAAACACATGTAACACATTTAAAAATAATATTCTACCATAATGCCCATTATATGTTAACATATGAAGTTAATTATATATAATGAATGTTATATATATATGTACATATATATATTAACACCAGCATTATGTGTGTCCTACGTGGTCATAATGTTGTATGTTATCCCTTGTATTCTTCCAAACAATCTTGGAAAGTTCAGAAAAGCCTAGGTTTCGTGATGACTTAGAGTTTTATATTCTGTTTGTTTTCTTGGCTTCCACAGAGTGATGGATGTGCATTAGGCACTCAATGCTTGTTAAATGAGTCATTGAAATTTTGCAAACAATAAAATTGAAGCTCAAAGGACTTGTAAACTTGCGCAGTAGCTTGGAATTTGTAGGTGGTAAATCTGGGCTTAAAAGTATCTGTCTGATCCTTTGGTCATTGTGTAGTAACCAGAGGCAAATGGTCAGACTGTGGCTTTCCGTGTGCTAGGGATACGGAATGGTGACTGAGTGCTCTGTTTTGAAATAAGATCTGGTGGATAGAAGTGGGTTGCATTTTCATATTCTTGATTATTCCTTCATGCTGAGTAATTAGCACCTAAAACACATGAATACTTTGGTAACAAGACCTGTTTTATTTATTTAGTTTTTGCTTGCTACTATTGGTAATGGAAGTGTTAATTGTTGAGTGGACAGAATCACCCAAGGGACAAGCCTCTAGCCATGCCTGTGAAAGATTATTATCTTGAGTTAATTGACTTGGAAAGGACCAGAGGGCTGCACTATTCCCTGGGTTTCTACAGTAAAAGGAGAGAGCAAGCTCATGGCTCTCCATCTTCTGACTACAGATGTGATGTGCTGTTGCTCCAAGGGCCTGCTACCTCGACTCCTCTGCCTTGGTGGACTATACCCTTGAACTGTAAGCTAATAAACCCCTTTCCCCTAAGTCATTTCTGTCAAGGGATTTATCACAGCCACAGGATAGAAAACAACATGCCAAACAATAGAAGTAGCCACTCAGCTACTCAAGATGTCTGGGTGTTGTCTTGGGCTGAGCATAGTTGGTCTGTCTACTAGGAGACTGGGAATATCCTTACAGCTTTCCTCTGAAGAAGGTCATCATTTGATCATCCTTAAATTCATATCAAAGTTTTACAAATAAAAGCATTTTGACTGAGGGAAATGCAAAGCCAAAGTAGTAGCGCTTTCTCCCTTTCTCTTGGCACTAGGCATTCTCAAATTGAATTGGCACAGCTGTTCTCTGGGCAGAGCTCCTACCCCACTGACAATGAACGGGCAGCTCACCATCCTAGCACATAGGAACTCAAGATGATCAGGGCAAAGCTGCTTAGCAACTCACCAAACAGAGCAGCCTCTAGCCTCAGGAAAAGATTTGATTAATGGATCCTGGGAACCTGCCTCTGATCACTGCCATCCAGGCACTGAGCACAAGTACAGGCTGGCAGGTTGCTTCAGGCTGAGCTGAGGACACCGCTGAAAGCATAGCAATGGATGTTCATGCCTTTAGATGCACATTCCCCGTGACTAGCTGGGCTGGGCTTAGAAAATGGCCTTGCTCCCTAGTTTTGGATATGGAAACCAGAGAATCAGAATGCTACTTCAGTTATGCTCAGCGTGGGCTGATGGATATGAAATTCATGTAAAAGTAACTGAGTCTTCCAGACGGTGCATTCCCAGTGAGTATGCTGGACAGCTGTCTCCGTTTCTGTGATAGTCCCATGCACAGGGGAACAGAAGAAGCTGCCAGTGGACTTTGCCTTTTTCCCCCTTTTAAATCACTCCATTGATTCGGCTGTGTTTATTTTGGTAAAACAACCAAAGGAACAAACAAGTTTCTCAAGAAGAAACAGCAGGAATGACGGACAAAGACTTCCTCTCAGCCATTTGATTTTCCCCTGCTAAACTCTGCTTGTGGGATCCCTAGACCTGTTCCTTGCTGTCAGACTGTGAACAGTTTGGTTAATTGGCTCCCCTTGTTGCCAAGACCTTGCCTGTGTTCTTTGCTGTTCTTTTCTTCTATAAACAGCCTCTGTTCTCCATGGCGACTTTCCTGTTTGACTCCTTACTGGGGCTGGGGATGATTTGGCTTGGAGGGGAGCCTCAGAAATCCTGGTCTGGGTTTTCTTCCTTTAACAGTAATGCAAGCCTGTCCATGAAAGGAGTGGAAATGATACTTTTTCAGCACTTTCAGTCTGCTGGGGACTCCAAGGAAACTAAATAAAATGTCCCAAACAAAGACTTCTGACCATCAAGGTGTATTGTTTATAGGTAACATTATTATTACTACTACTACTATTATTATTATTATTTCAATTGTTATTTTTGGAGAAATCTAGTTGTCTTGGAACTCTTTAAGTAAACCAGGCTGGGTGTGAATTTACAGAACTCTGTCTGCCTCTGTCTTCTGAATTCTGGGATTAAAGGCCTATGCCTCTATGCCCTGCTTGTTTATACGTAATTTGGGCATCATGATAATAGCCAATTTTATGTGATTTACAGATCTCTATTTATCACAGATTTTCAGGATGTTTGCAGCATTTTTATATACCATGGGACGCTTACAAGAATGTAGCATTCGTTTTAGATAAGTGGTATATGTTTATTCATTTTAACCAGTTGATATGCCTGGTTCCTTTGGCTCTCTTTCAACTTAAGTTTATCTCTAGTCTTATGGTTTCCAGAAGCAAACTCATATAAAGTGAATGGAATGCTCACCTCCTTCCCTACCCTAAACTTCTCTAACTCATGGGCTTCCCTTCCCCTAGATATTCTTTCTCCTTTATAACCCTGCTATTTTGGCCATGCTCTCTCTCTTTTTGCCCACACTGTGTTTTCCTCTCGATCTTTCTCCCGCTCTTGCTGCCCCCACCCCGTTCTGCTCCCACTTTTCTCCTGGCCAGGTCTGGTCTGCTGGGCATGTTTAGTCTACTACTTTTTCTCTCTGCCACGGACCCTCCCAGATGCCTCTGGCTGTTCTATCCCTCATATCGGCAACAAAATCCTTCCCCTTAACTATACCATGGAGCAGTCATGTGGTTAGTTTATAAACCTGGCTCAGAAGACAGTCACCCACACTGATCCCATCTGGAGATTAAACAAATGATGGGTGGACGGAGATGCAGGCATGTGGTAACTTGACACACCTGTTTGGTGACTTAAGGCATAGTATGGAATTAGTTTGGTTTGCTAGCCCGAAGGCAACCATGGTAACTTAGTCATTTCTGCATTCTTTTCTCAGTTGCATCAGGCATGGCTTGTACGGCACCTCTCAGTCTCACTAACATTCCTCTCTCTTGGGCCCTTGGCTGTTTCCTTAACTGTTGTGGCAACAGGATTTACCTGGGCACAGCCCAGTAGTTCTTCCCTTGCTGTCTCTGCTGTGCGTTTTCTGCAGCCTGCCCTGGGATTTGCTCAAGATGTGTGAGTTGAGGTGAGGTCGGAAGACCATCTCATAGATGAATCAGATCGGGGACAGGTGGGAATCAAGGTTTTGCAAAGTTCTTAGAAGTGCTCTGTGGTTGGTAGGAGTTGGTCTAAGCAAGGCCAACTCTCTCACGACGGCTCCCTTTCCTTGCTACTCTTCCCTTTGCCTTTTCTCCGCTTCCTGTATTTCTTCACCTATAGTAAATTCGAAGACATGAGAATCAGGGTTAGCATTGTGCTGGGGGAAATAGCTCATAGGTCACTAGCTACAAAGCCCAGTATTAGCTGAGAGTCACATGTATTCCTGATTGAGATATGGTGTAAGCATATATTATACATGAGAAAGAGCTCACTGTTGTTTTCTTTTTGAGGCAGGGTCTTGTAAGGAGACATTCTCTGTCCCACCAGTCAGCTCGCAAATAACAATATGGAGACTTTTTATTAACTATGAAAGCTTACCCTTAACTTAGGCTTGTTTTTAACTAACTCTTATGACCTAAATTAACCCATTTCTATTCATCTGTTTTGTCACATACTGCCCATCCTGCCTCTGCATCTTCTGTGTCTTCTGGAGTCTCTTATGTATCCAGATTCCCACTCCGTTTCCTCTGTCTTCCTGGAAATCCCATCTATACCTCCTACCTGGCTATTGGCCATTCAGCTTTTTACTACACTAATCACAACAGTACACCTTCACACAGTGTAGATGGAAGCTTCTGTCTCTCCAGGTCCTACAGCCATTCAGTCCCAAATAAGCACGCAGTTACTTGTATTAATTACAAACTATTTGGCCAATGGCTCAGGCTTCTTATTGGCTGCCTCTTTCTTAATTATTAACCCATGTGTCTCCACATAGTCTTGGCTTGCCAGTGATGCCCAGACGTCTTGCTTCCTTGGCAGCTACATAGTGCCTCCTTGACTCCACCTACTACCTTTCTCTATCCCTGTTTGAATTTTTTCTATGGCTAAATCCTGCCTGTTCATTGGCCAAAACAGCTTTATTCATCAACCAATAACAGAAACATATATTTACAGCATACAGGATATCTCCAATAAACACAGTGTACAAATATCCCACATTCCCTGCTTTGTGTCTAAATAAAAGAGGCATTATCTCTAATACAGCAAAGTTATATACCATAAGAACAATTATCAAGCAAGAGTTACATTCACAATGCCTAGTCCATTTGTATTTTGCAAATTTGGAGAAATTACTCTATTATCTATCCTATCTTGATGAGTAAAGTTTTATACCTAAACAGCTTACTATAAATTGAATTACCATCCTAAGGATATCTTTTTAGACCTTAAAACATCTTCTTAGATAAACAATTTAAGCTTTTATATCTCCCAACCTTATGCACTTTACATCTCTCATGTAAGTTTTTTTTCTGAATTTGGTAACAAGGAAAACTGTAATTATAACTATTTAGTCTTCAACCCCAGAAAAGTGCTGAGAAGGATATAATATTACCTGAGTAAACAGGAAGTGCAGAGTAAGCAACTTCCAACACTATAGAAATGACAGAAACAGTTGACTGCCTGCCATGTCACCCAAGATTCCTCTGCAACATTAAGGCATCTATCTTCAGCCTAACAGGCCTACATATTGGGTAGACTTTTCTGTGAAGCGAGAATTTTGAAGAACTATTCAACCTTGTCTTGACAAAGTCGAGTAGTTGCTTTCTTTTGTGTCCTGCTTGTCCAGTCTAGACAGCATGCTGACAGCAGTCAAGGCGAGGGCAGTTTCTTGCCAAATGGTTAGTTTTGCCACATTGAAGGCAAACTCTATATGAAGGATTTTTCATGTCCATTATACTTTTTTTTTTCAAGTAAATTGGTGCTGCCAGGAGCAGATGTGTCGCACTGTCATGTTATTAAAACATTTTAAATGCCATATTCTGTAGGTCTTTGAAGACTTTGAAGACCATCTATCTATTCAGAATATATTTCTGTATGACCTTGAAACATACCTAGCATGACTTTAAGTTTGATTGTTACAGATGACTAACTACTAACCTGTCTTTATTATCCTAAATAGCTTTCAAGGACTAAAAGTTTATATTACATTTTTAAATGAAACGATTAGGTATAATACCTTAAATTGGAGTAGAAACATATACAGTATAACAAAAATAACTTTCAATTTGTATTAATATACAAAAATCCATATCAATATAAAGTATTTGAGACCAGTAGTTGTTCAAAAGTGGACTCAACAATCCATCCTTTAATCCCATTATTTCTATACTATATCTGTGCTTTTTTCCTTCAGAAAGAGACCCCTGAATCTAATCTCCTTTGTTCAACATTTTCTTGACCATGAGCAACAAGAACTTGCAACCATCCCCAACTAAAGGATGACAAACATTCATGACTCACTGAATGACCAAAAACCATCCACCCCACCTCTTGGAAATGCAAGCTTCATGTTCTCTAGGCTGCTTCCTGTTGTCTGGGGGTGATGGCATCTTTAGGGGACTCTGAAAATTTTGGATAATGGTCAAGTCCTAGAGAGCTAGCTGTACTTTTTGTTTGTTTAGTCTTTGTGATGGGAAAGTGTAGAGCTTATCTGAAATCTTGAATGGATAGTTTGTCAAGCTGGATCATCTCAGCTAGCAGCTTTGAAGTTGATCTCAATATAGAATTTTGAGAAAACTGCAGCAAAGGCATGTTGTTTTCATCACTGACTGACCTTTTTTGTGAAAACACACAAACTGTTTTTATTTTTTGTGAAAACACACAAACTCTTAGAGGTAACATTTTGTATCTGCATTAACACAAATATGGAATGTGCACAATTCAGCTAAAGATGATTTTTTTTGCTCTGTTTGAGTGGGTAAAAGGCATCTGTCAACTTTATAAGTCTGTTTGGACTGTATAACCAAACTGTAATATAAATATCTACCCATGCCATATGAAAGGATGGCATGTAATAATAAGTTATTAGGGCTCTGTAGCCAACAAGATTTGTCATGTTTCATCCAGTTTCAAAACTGTTCCCATGTAGAAGAATCAGCACATACATACATCACCTGTCCTGTAGTATTTCTTGTTTTTTCTTTTCATGTCTATAGCCAAGATTTTCAGGAGGTCTCCCTCAATCAAATCTTATCTTCATTAATTTTGAAAGGAACCATAACTTTTTGCTTCCTGTGGAAACAAAGGCACATCATCTTTCCCCATGCAACATATTGTTTGACTTCCATTTTGAAGCTAAGACATTTTTAAAAATGCATGAGTTGGTTTAATTTAGCAGTTTCCATAATCCAGTGTCTCTCAGATGGTATTGTTCTTTTTACACTAGCATTTAAAAAATTCAAAGTCAACAAAACATCATATAGGATCCAGATTATCCCTGTATATTTCCAATCTTTATGTGGCTTATTCCTTTTATATTACTTTACTCTCTCTTTAAGGACTTTATTATTTTTTCTTTAACATATTTATTTATTTAGGTTAGAAACAATCTTGTTTCACATGTCAATCCCATGTCTCTCTCCATCCCCTCCTTCTCCTCCCTCCCCACCAGGTCTTCTGGTCCCCCACCCAAGTCCGATCCCCAAGGAGGGTGAGGCACTGTTGCCCATACTGTCCCAAGCTTTAGACTCAACTGATCCTCCTGTCTCAGCTTTGCCAGCAGATAGACTGCAGATGTCACTATGACTGACATTTACTAACATTTAAAAATATTTATTAAAGAATTGATAGCTGGACGTATTGTGTTAAGTAAAATATACTACTGAAATTAATTTTACCTGTGCCTTCATAGTTTAGGGAGTAGCTCAAGTGTTTCCCCTGGCTACAATTTGACTGGAATTATAGACTCTACCTCTGACCCATTTAAAATTTCAGCATAATACCGAGCAGTCTCCCATAGCCTCTTGTACTTTTGTACTTGACACTTCTTTATTTTCTCTAAAAAGTACTTTCTTAGAATAGATTTTATTTCAACACACACACACACATATGTACACACACACACACACACACATATGTATATGTAGCGCCAATCGACGCTATAACGATAAGTGACACACAATTACTGAAAGTAAAACTAAGTATTTATTGTAGAAATTACTCACAAGATACCAAACAAGTAACCCAGATGAGCCAAGCAGTTTTCCTGCTGCCGAACCGGAAGCCGAACTCCGGGAAAAGAGACCGAGACTTCCTGTGTGCTGTCTTTTATACCTTCCCCCGTAACGCCCCCTAGCCATGCCCAAAAGTGGGCCTGGCTAGTGACGTAGTTCTGCCTACGTACGTATACGTCTTTACGTCCAGCTGTATACGTCTTTAGTCCTGCCTAAAGTGGGTGTGGTTAGCGGTGTGGTAAACCACCCTTTTATTACCTCATCTGCATGCGCCTCTAGTAAGTCACATGTTTAATGCCGACATACAGGCTTTCTCCTACAATTCCCCTTTTAGTCTAAAAAAGAACAACTAACTTGTGTCCATGAACAAAATGTATCAAACATCTATTCTATCTAAACCTAAACTTATCTGAAATACCCAAATCTGAACACCTCCTTCCAATCCCAACTCTAAATTAATTGAAAACTAACACTAACAGGTGTAAACTATCTTATAATATCAATAGTAGGGAGAGGGGGGCGTGGAATTCTCAAAACTACTTCCTGCTGAGATGGGACAATGATAGTCTCATGGGGACCTGTGAGAAGAAAAATGTTAGTATAACAAAATCTCCGTAGATCAGACAGTCTCTGTATGGCAGGAGATGCTTGATTGAAGTTCCTGACTGGGGTTCTAGTGTTGATTTAAGCTCTCACCTGAAGCTCTAGCCAGATTGTAGAAGATGTGCTGTTTCAGTTTCTTGGTCCGGAGTTGTGTAGAGTGATGTAGTTTCAAGCCAGTTTCAGGATAGTGCTTTTCAGGTGGAGTCAATGATGTGGGGAAGTTCAGATGCCTCCAGTAGAATCAGGTGAAGTCAAGGAAGTGGATCCTCATTCTCTTTCTGAAGCAGTTGAAGATTGCTGTCAGGAAATCCCTTGTTCTCTGGAAAACTCAAACATTAATGTTAACAAAGAAATATTTTAACTTTCATATGTATGCATACTGGAAGAGGTGACAATAGGGAAGATGGCAAACCTGAAGGAAATTAGACTTTACAGAAAAAGAAATCCACAGATAACAGTCCCTAATTTTATTTTCTTCTGTCTTAAATGGTTGTCAGGAGCGGGATTGAATTTCCACGCAAAATAACAAAAGATTTAAAGGAATTTTAGAAACAGAAGAGCAGAGAGAAGCACAGATTTTTGGTAGCAGCATTTTCTCAGGTGGGCTCTGTTTTGCTATCGACAAGCCGAGATTCACGTGGCTCGCTTACCGGAGTCTTCCTGACTCGGCATAAAAAGAAAAAAATAAAAAACAAGGTTGTTTTAAGAGACTCTGCTAATGATTGAAAAGTGTGTACGTACAGCTGGAAGTGGCAGCTTGTGCTGAATGTCAGCATGGACTGAGGCAGTAAGCTGGAATCACGCTTTCGCCCGCCATCTTGGAAGGCAGCAGTTTAAAACAGCCGCGGTTTTACAGATAAGACACGTGGCCAGAAAAACGTAAAGATTTACAGTAAAGTCAGACTTGGATGAACAAACCTCTAAAGGTTTTCGGTGTGTTTAAAAATATACGTGAGATTGAGAGAGAAAATGAAACGGCAAAGTGGTAAATAAATACAAAAGCCGGCGTTGTGGTGGCGCACGCCGGTAGGATTTACTCCAGAGGCAGAGGCAGGCGGATTTCCAAAGAGAAACCCTGTCTCAGATAAAAATAAATTAAAATAAATAAAGTAATAATATATAAATAAATAAGCCACGTAAAGATGGAAAATACACAGAGAGTCTGGATACTGTACACTATTATGTTTTTCAGTTTTTTCATTGTTAAGGAAGGAACAACTACTGAAGTACACTTGATTATAAATGCTGCTAAATTAATCCAACTTCTATCTTTTGAAAATGCCTTGACTTCAAAATTTAAGTATAAGGATATGTTACTCGGAAAAGGAGTTTTAGTTTATGTCTCCACAGAAAATGAAAAGCTGAGGATTCCTTCCAGGCTTCTGTGGTTTGACGAACCAAGACCTCCGGAAGCAGTGGACCAGGTGTTCCAACAACTGAAACAGCTAAGATGATGGAGCTTTACAGACCCTGAAAATAAGGACTTATACAGGTTTCTGAGTTTTGTCATTATCCCCATGGTATAAACAGCGCCCCCTTCCAGCACGAAGCAGTTTGGAATGAGCGACGTCCTAATTCCCATCTTGTTTATAAATCTTTGTTTTCATTTAAATGGGGTTGTTTATAATTGGCTAATGATAACAGCCGATCTCTTTTTTAATGGTAAAAAGGGGAATTATGGTATGGGTATTGTTTTTCATTTATTGAGACAAAATCAAGGTCAATTTTGTGATGCTTATATTTCTCCTCTTGATTAAGTATTGTGCTTATACTGTTCTTTTAAAACATAATACCTAATTGAATACAGACTATAGATAGTTACTTATAATAGAAGTTATAGTTAGGTAAGTTAGGTTTTCTAGATATATAGAGATGTGTTTGAGATAGATAGTCTTCAAACCTTTCAAAGACCTTCAGAAAATGGCATTTAAAATGGTTTAGGGTTTTTCTTGACAATGAGAAATGTCTGCTCCTGGCAGCACCAATTATGTCTGAGAGGAAGATGGGCATCGAAGAAACTTGTTAGGGAGTTTGCTTTCTACATGGCAAGATTAGCCATTTGGGCAAGAAACTGCTCTTGCCTGTACTGCTTGACTGTTGCTGTATAAACTGGACATGCAGGACCCACAGGAAAGTGACTGCTGAACTCAGTCTTACAGGGTTCCTGCTTCATGAAAGAGTCTAAGCGACTTTCTACAGGACAAAGAAAAATGACTGACAGACTGCCAGCGCAGATGGACAGTTTGAAATTTCCTGCTTTGCTGAGAAGTGTTCCAGACACATTGTGGCCTATGGGCTGAAGATGGATGCCCCAACGTTACAGAGGAACTTCGGGTGACTGTCCAGGCAGTAAGATACCTCTGTCAATCATAGTGTTTATATATTATCCTTCTGTGGTCTTTGATGGAGTTGAAGACAGATAGTTATAATTATAGTTTTCCTTAGTTATGATAAAAGATAAGCTACATATAGGACTTTGGACTCACAAGGATGGGATGGATGATATTTTCTTTAGATCTTGCTAAATGTTAATAGACAAAATGTTGTAACTGTGTTCTTACTTGATAACTGTTCTGTCATATACAATTTGACTATGTTAAAGTTAAGACCTTTCTTTTTGTTTAAACAGAAAAGAGGAGATGTTGGGGAAGTCCTGTGTATATGTCAATAAATTACTGTCTGGCCAATAGGAATCTAGATAGGTGGGACTAGGAATCCAGGAGGATTCTGGGAAGGAGAAACACAGGAGAGTTCGAGATGTAACCGCCATGGGGTAGGAAGCCCGGAACTATTCTCCGGTAAGAGAAATACTTAGATTAATAATTATGGGGTAATTACTTAAGTCAGAGCTAGCCAGTAAGAAACAAGCAAGGCCAACAGCTTCATAATTAATACAGCGTCTTGTGTGTTATTTGGGGACTACAATGTGGCAGAGCCCAGGCGACTGGCGGGTGATATACCAAAGCGGCTAGCAAGATAAAGCTTTTCTTAACATGTATAGGTTTACACACATGAGTGCAGTGCTTTTAGAAGGAGGGAATGATGCATGAGAGAGATCCTTTGGAATTTAGAGTTGTAGGTAATTGTGGGCTGCCTGATGTAGGTCCTGGGAATTGAACTCAGAGCTTTCAGAAGAGAGGCAAGCAGTCTTAATTGCTGACCAACTTTCCAGTGCCTGCTTTATTTATTTATTTTGATTATCATCTATCTATCTATCTATCTATTTATGTTTTTCAAGACAGGGTTGTTTTGTGTAGCTCTGACTGTCCTGAAATTCATTCTGAAGATCAGGCTGGCCTCAAACTCACAGAGATCCTCCTGCCTCTGCCTCCTGAGGGCTGAGAGTCAATGCATGCTCTGCCACTATCTAGTTAATTTTTTATTTTTTAATCGTATGTATTTTTTAATTGTCTGGGATGTATAGGTGTGTGGGGTCTCTTTCTGTGTGTCTCTGTATGTGTATGTGTGTGCACGAGTATCTGTATGTGTCTGGGTATGTGTCTCTGTGTATGTGTGTGTCTCTCTGTGTGTATATCTGTGTATGTGTCTGTGTGTGTATCTGTGTGTCTCTGTGGATGTGTGATTTGTATGGGGTCTCTGTGTCTATGTATCTGTGTGTGTCTATGTATGTGTGTCTCTGTGTGCTATTTCTGTGTATGTCTGTATATGTTTGTGTTTCTGTGTGTGTGTCTGTGTATTTATCTGTGTATGTACCTGATGTGTGTGTCTGATGGGGGGGTCACTGTGTATATGTATGTCTATGTGTGTATCTCTGTGTGTCTATGTGTATTTGTTTGAGTGGGTATGTCTATGTAGTTGTCTGTGTGTGGGTGTGTATACATTAGTGCAGAAGCCCACAGAGGCTAGAGATGCCTGATCCCCTGGAGTTGGAGTTACAGGCAGTTATGAACTGCTTGATGTGGGTTTAGAATCTCAAGAGCACTACAAGGCACCTCTCCAGCCATTCTGTGATTTCTTTGAGATTTTACTCAGCATTGCTATGAGTAACACATACTTTCAAGTCATAGTTGTGGTTTTACTGGGGTCAGAAGAAGCGTCCTGTGTACACACTGACTACATGAGTACTCTAAAATGACCACTTATTGTTAATAACTAACTTTTCCTCTTAAACAAGGGTTTCCTATGTAGCCCTTGCTGGCCTGAAACTCACCCTTGCCTCTGCCTCTGCCTCTTGAGTGCTGGGTTGATAGGCATGCACTACCACACACAGTAATGCTTAATTTTGCAGGTTAGGTTTGCAGTTCAAACTACAAATGAGTTCATCTCTATTTGATGCCTTGCTATACATATTGAAATAAATGCAAGGGGTGTTGAAAAGGCTAATAGCTTTGCAAGCATTAATTTCCTGGTGTATTTTATTATATGCATTTTCCATAATTGAATATCTATCTAAAGCACAGTGCCTAAGGATTAACTTGTGCGCTTTTCTTTTCACTGCTATTATCAATTATGGGTTGCAATTTGGTGACTAAATTGAATTTGTTGCAGGATTCCTCACTGTTGTTGTCTCTGGAACAGGATTCCTCACTGCTGTTGTCTCTGGCATTTCCTTGTGGCTTTTTTACCCAGGGTATTTCATTTCCAAATTGTCTTATTGGACTCTCATGCATGTGACATTGGCTATGAGCATTATCTAGAGCAATTCGAATAGCTGTGGATTTTATTCTGTTCTATAAAAAGATAAGGGTCTGGCTTGCAGTCACATTCCCTCTCTTGGAATTTTTGATCTGGCTCCATGGAAATATTGTCAAATCAGTTTGGCTAGAGTTGCTGGAAGGGCAAGAGTTGAGAGAATTCCTAGTTAAAAGGAATGGGTCTTGAAAGGGAGTGACAGAGGGTAAATTGTAAGCTCCAGTTTGATGTAAATGGGATAGAAATGGATTTGAAGAAGAAAGAAAGGTAGTTTAAAACCAGAAAACCAAAAGCAATTGCCATGGCTCCAGCCAGAAAAATACAATATTTTTTTCACTCTAACTGTAAGTCATCATAAGAGCAAAGAACATTATTATTTATACTTTGGTGATCAGCTCATTGCTAAAGGGACTCACAAAAATATCCTACTCAGAATATTGAAGTACAAAGCAGGATTCTGTATTCCCACACACGACTCAAAGATGACCTCTCTATAGAAATCTTCCCATGTCTGTCCTATAGCAAGTCAGAGGAAAGTCTCATATGTCGTGGAAATATTAATATCCCTTCCTTTCTAAACTAATTTCATTTCTTTGAAATTTTGTTTCTTTTCTTCTCAAATGAAAGGAATTAAATGTAGGGAAACAATTCTATCAGGAGATTCATTTTGATAAAAGAGAAATTAATTAGAAGTTAATTAAAGATACACTCATATCTGAATTAATAGTAAATTTTTTTCAAAGGCACACATTAGCTGAATGCTAGGATGATAAGCAAACCACTTATTTCCAGCCAACACTGCAGACTAGGGGTGTAGCTCTGTGGTCTGGCCCTGTGTTCAGTCACCACCACAGCCATGAGCACAGAACCCTTTGTATTCTTCCTGGGAGATGGAATTATATGCAGTGTGCCGACTAGAAATGCAGAACTTTTGCTGGCCACATTCACATCCCACAAGTATCTCTCTGATCCAAAGATGCTCATTGCATAACTGAACTGAACTTTTCCATACTTTGTGACAATTGTGACAGCAGTCCTAAGACTCTTGTCAGCCTTGTTCCGGATCAAGGACCATAGCCATAGTCATGTCCAATCTGGGTTTATTTTAAACAGCCTCTAAAGCTCGTGGTTAACAGCTTTCACTGCTTATAAAAATACCATCACCTTGCCAGCATTGTGATCATGAGAGACAGGTTATCACAGGTAGAAAATAGAAGAGAAAATGAACTCTCTTTCTGCCAGCCAACACAAACTATACTACTAACACCAAATAGTACCATGACATCCATTTCGGGAGATAGCAGTGTATTAAACAGATGATATCCATGCTGGGCGTGGGAGACAGGGCTCGCTGACCTGGAAGGTTGAGTTTGAAGTGTGTGGTTTGCAAGAGCTGGACTTGCTCCCAGTTACCTTCCCACCTCTAACCCAGACTAGATACGCCTTAAGCCTTCCATAAATGTTTGTAGGACACTCGCAACACTGGGTTCTGTTTGATGGCATTGCCAGCTGGCCACAGAAAGCCTGGCTGTGTCATCTGTGTGTGAGCCTGGAAAGGAAGCAGGTGACAGCTGAGGAGGGCATGGGAGAAGGAACACTGGAGGAAGTAGCTGAGGTTTTCTGGTACATTCTTGCACAGACATGTGTTTGGCCTTCAGGATTTCCCAAGTGCCTCTCTGAGGAGTACTTGGTCAGGATGATTAGGTACATGAGAACCAGGCAGACAATAGAAGCCAGGAGACCAATGCTGGATTCAGTGTTGGAGAAAATGCTTACTGCTGATCTCTAAAAACATCATGTAAAGTGAAAGAATGATGGCGTGTAGGCCAAGGCAGAGATGGGAAAGAGGCCATGGGGATAGGAGTCACTGAGGACAGAGATCCACATAAACACCTTTCCTACCAAGGCTAATGATGCAGGGTTTTACATGTGCAATATCCTCTTACCCTACAATAAATTACCAGCACTTGAGCTTACCATACTTCTTGCAGAAAGTACCAGAAAAACGACTTAGTTTTTCTTTAGAATAATTATGTTATGGACAAATGAACTTTCATGGGCTTCAATTGGCAGGGGAGGCAGACAAAATAGGAACATTTACCTCTGCTCCACGAAACTTCCTCTTATATATTCCCTTCCTGGTGTAATTGACACAATTAACTTTTTGTTTGTTTTTGTTGTCCCTCCCCCCAGACAGGATTTGTATTTGTAGTTCTGGCTGTCCTGGGACTTGCTCTGTAGACCATGCTGGCCTTGAATTCAAAGATCTGCCTGCCTCTACCTCCCCAGTACTGGCTACATTTAACTTTTAAGTATGGATGCAATTGTTGAGGCACACAATTCAATGGAACATAAATATGAAACTACTTCAAAGAAAGTCTTTCTCCAAAGTGTGCCATTCACACTTATGTATGTATGTATGTATGTATGTATGTATGTATGTATGTATTGGTGAGGCTGTGAGTAGTTTCCTTAGTGAAATCTCAGCTTTTAGCTCTACTGTGACTTTGTCTTTACTCAGCTTGGTTTTGCTATAAACGTTCTGTTTGTGCAGTTGCAGTCTTCGATGCTGGAGGAGGAATGTCTGTCCTCACTCCATGATGGCTGGGCTTGAGTGTGGCTTTCACTGTGCAGGTCTGTGTGGGAGAGGTGTAGGTGTTTGCTTGGAGCTGCTCCTTGGTTTGTTGAGCTTGCTATTCCAGTTTATGAGGTCAATGAGGGTATGAGAAGTTTCATGTGCCCTTTGCAAACTCCATTGCCATTAAGTGTTGGTTGGCATTGGTTGCCGCTTGTCATACTTAATGTATTTTCCCACCAAAGGATCTAGTTCATACTTTTTCCATATTGAGCCCAGGACCTGGCACACTAGTCAAGTACTGTTCTCTCACTAAATTAACCTGCTGGCCTTGAACATACCACCCCCGGCCCTACAGTGGCAGGTATTACAGATGTGAGACACATTATCATTTGTTAATGGGGATATGTTTTCCCCTTCTGTTATACTCAATCATGGTGGTTCTGTGAAGATGTCTTCCTGTCTGAAACTTGACATGCTTGTCAAAACTACCCACCTGTAAACTGGCAAACGTAAGTGAGATCCCACAGTTAGTAAGTCTTAGAAGTCAGGAACATAAGTGGCAGAGGCCGTGTCAACACTGCCTGCATCTGCCAGTCTCTCCTCCCACCTGCCACCTCTCCTCAGAGCTAGCACATAGCAGACCAGAGGGGCCAGCCAAGCAGACATCAGCAGGGAACGCAACACCATCCTTCCCGGAGTTACCAACTCAGTGCAGATGCTTTGCTTCCCTTAGGCCCGTGGTGGAGATCTTCTACCTTGCTTTGAGGAGAGAAGGCAGTCTCCTCCCCTTCTATAAATCCCGGCTCTAAGCTGCTGACCCTCCCTCTTGCTTCATATCTCTAGACAGTAGAACCTGTTCCCATACTGGTCCTCTGCCCAAGATCTGTTCTCTAGCTCTCCTGCCTGTAGTGTCCCATGAAAGCTGACTTCTATGGATGATCTCGCTAAGAAACTCCCTGGCCTTCTAGCATTTGGTTGGTTTTGACTAAAGGCAGAAGGGCTCCTAAGTGGTAGATAAGGAGCCAGGAGTTTGTAATCCCTGTCCTCTGCTTTAAACAGATCCCCTTGGGCTGTCTGCTGCCTCTCTCTTTAAACTCACTATTTTGATCACTGGATTTCCTCCCTCCCCTCAGTCTAAGACCTGTGAAGCTTCCCCACTGTGACCAGTCCCTGAGTGTCACCATCCTGTGCTGATTCCCTCGAGCCACACTGTTCCTTACCCAGTCCACTCCTCTGCACAGGGTCTCTTCATTTAAACCATTTCAGTGAAATCCTTGAGAGGATCACCTGTTTCCTGCTGTGGCCATGACAAATCTGCCTCATTCCATTAGCACAATATCCCCAGGTTTCCAATGTCCTTCCATATGTATTTACTTAAATGAAAAATGGCTGTATAATCTAATCGTGGGCAGATATCAGACATATCCTTATCGAGGAGCATTCTCCGACATAACTGGATTCAAAAATATCAGAGGCATGAAAAGCTAAGGAATTACTAAAGATTAGAGACTCGAGAGACATGTTGATGATATGCAAGGAGAAACAAGTTTATGTGTCTTCCTAAAGAGATAAATGTGTGTGAAGATGCATGTGTACATATGTGTGTCTATTCACATATGCATGACACATGAATACAGGATGCATGACTCTGAAACTATGCAAGAACCCTTTGTGTGAATTGTAGAGCATTTCACAGCCCAGATGAAAGCTAACTTTCTGTGGGCCATTTATTTGACTGTCTGTCCTTTCTCTTGCATTCCTACTGCAAGCGCCCCTGTACACCTATGTTTCTGCATACGACCCAGGACTATTGTTGACTAGAGTTGAGAAGCAGAACTGTTGAATCAGGGACTGTGCACACTTTTACATTTTGGTGTGTGTTTTGAATTGCCAAAGAAGCTTACAGCTTGGTAAACACCTATTCTTTATTACTGTGAAATAAATTATGAACAAGGTTTTGCAAAAAACAAAACAAAACACCAAAAAACTGGATGGTAGCTTGTACAACTAGGCTTTTCTGAACAGATCAAATTTAGATCCTAGATTGGCTACCTTCACATTATTTGCATGCATTAATTTCCTCCCAAGGTTCTTCAAGGCCTTCCTGCTCTGCATCCTCCCTTTGCTGTGGGGTTCCAGGCCCTCCTGCAGAGGCCTGCCTCTCTAAACTCTTGTTTGAAATGCTAATTTTCTTCATGAGGGTAAAAAAACGTTCAAATACTACTTTCAGCAATTGATCATGTATGATTTTTCTGTCAAGTATAACCTTGCTTTTGCTCATGTAAGCAAATATAATCAAGGTTTGTGAGAGAACTTTTTGGAAAATCAGGTGAGTGAATATTAAAGTTGACTGGAAACTGTGGCACCATTGCTCAGCAGCACGCTGAATATATCCACATGCTTCGTTTTTTGATATAATTACAAAATGATAAGGATGAAAAGGAAGCTGGGAACATTTTATCCACCCTCTTTTGCACTGAAGGTGGAAACTGTAGACCTGATATGTGGACTGAAATCACACAGCCCACACAGAACCAGATGAACCCTGATCGTCTGACTTTGGCTGTGTCCTTTCCTGCTTCCCATCTGTACAGTCCAGGAAGTCCTTCAAAGATGTCTTTCATTGTTGTTGGTATACGCTGTTGTGTGTCCCAGTGGAGGCCAGGCTGGAATTGGGCTTACAACAGTTGTGAGCTGCCTGATCCCAGTTCAAACCCTCGGGAAGAGCAGTCAGTGCTCCTTAACCATTTCTCCAGTCCTGCCTTGGAGGTCTTAGGCTTCTGTGAAGCAAGATCTGTGTCTGGTGAAGCCACAGTCTGAAGGTTACTCAGAGTAGGGAAGGTAAAAGGAAAACAAACCAACAAACAAATAAAAATATTCTAGCACTCCTGAAGAATTAACCTAAGACATTATTTTAACTTGCTTACAGCCAGGGTATAAAAATGGGAAATAGTCAGTTCTCTCTGATTGCTGAGAAATACATGGAAAGGAATGATATAGCTTTGGGTAATGCAAATGTGTTAACGTCGTGTAAGTCCCAAAATTTGCTCCTGCATTAACTTCAGCATGATATGCACACTAAATGTTACTGTATTTGGAAATAATTACCTCTTACAAATGATTCGTGAAGAGAAAACTCTGGTAAGTTAGCTTCCAGTTCTCTTCATGGAGAAATCCAAACTATGATCAACCATTCATCTTCTAAAATTATAATAATTTTCTAAATGTTTATGCCACAGTAAGATGACGTATCACACAAGTGTTGGTGCCAACCACATGCAACCCTGCCAAATCACTTGCCAAATATCTTGCCTTGGAGATGTATTTTGTGTTTAGCTGGACGTGGGTGTATGCAGCATTCTATACACTCGGAAAATTTCATAAAGAACTCTTAAGTTTGAGTACAAGGCCATTTTTGCATTTTCTTCCTCACTTTGGAGGGGTCATTTGCAGAATGTATTGGGGATTGGGAAAATTGCATGAGTGTAGAAGAACATTGTAGAGCAGAGTGGGGTTAACTTGAAGATCTGACCTTCAAGAGAAGGAGAGTGGCTAGTCAGCAAAAGAAGGCTTTGATTCTTAGGATCTCTGGAATGTGTTCCCCATGGGGATTGATATGATTACCTTGAGGGATCCATGTGGTTGCTGTAGTTAGTCAGTAGTTGAAAAAGGTTTCCTGTGCTTAAGCAGAAGGTTAGGTCCCAACTGAGTGGTTTTCAGTTCTGTCCCAATCTCCTCCATTTCAAATCAATATTTTGCTACACCCACCATTTAACATTCATTAATAAAATGATCTATATGGGAATACATCTTTTAAAAACGAATACGTGGGACTGGGAGGTGGCTCAACAGGGAAGGACCTGGCTGCACTAGCATGAGGATCTGAGTTCAGATCCTCAGCACCCAGGTGGGAAAAAAGGCAGACATGCTAATGGAGGCTTGGAGGCAAAGACGGGAGGATCCTGGGGACTCTCAGCCAATTGGTGAACTCCAGGTTCAGTGGGAGACTTTCTTTTAAAAGATAAAGTAAGAAGATCATAGAAATATTCACAGTCTCTCCTGTTGCCATGTGACTCAGGTGGCTAAAAGATGCCCACGGGCCAGCCTGGTCCTCAGTCTGGGCTGGCTGAAAGCATCCACAGGCCAACCTGGCACTGCCCTTTGCTGAACTCTGCAGCAGGAGAGCTGGCCCCACGCTACACCATAGCATGGGCGTGCTGACCCTGATGGTATGGGCTTAGTAGAGCTGGCTCTACCCCTCACCTGAGGGGGGTGGTCCTAGCGGCCCAGACTGCCCAGCTCAGCAATAACCCAGACCCACATCCTGGGCCTTGGATTGGCTCAACTGTAACATCTACCCCATCTATGACCTGCTGGAGTACATGAAGGGACTACTCCTGCAGAATGATAGCCTCAGGATCTCCATGACTCAGAACAATAGCAGGATAGCTGAGAGGAATTTCAGTAGGTGAAGGTCCAGTGATGATGGTGTGCCAGAGGCCTTGAACCAGACCAAGGACTCATTTCCATTGCACAGTAGGGTATGATGTGCGATGCACGGCAGTTCCCAGTGCCACTAGGAAGAATGAAGAGGTGTTGGAGCGACAGGAAAGATAGAAGAGCAAGGTGGGTTTTTCGTTTGCTTTGTTTTGTCTTTAATTCATTTGGGGGGCTTACTTTTGGGAGGTACACTGTAGTGTTGAGGGGCAAATATGGAGGGATAGGGAGGTGAGCTGGATTGGGGTGCAGATGTGAAATTCCAAAGGAATGGACAAAGAATTATAACCGACAAAAAGGAAAGAAAACAATAGAAGGCATGCACATTGATCTCTGCCCTACACACACACACACACACTCACACACACACACTCACACACTCACACTCTCACACACATACACACACGCACACTCTCACACATGCACACATGCTCTCTCACACACATACACACACTCACACACTCTCTCACATGCACACACATGCGCACACTCTCTCACACATGCATGCACACACACGCATACATGCACATGCTCTTCACACATACTCACACACACTCTCTCACACACTCACACACACTCTCTCTCTCACACACACATACATGCACGCACACTCTCTCACACATGCCCGCACACACACGCTCTCTCTCACACACGCATATGCTCTTCACACACTCACACACTCTCTTACACACACACACACACACTTATATACACACACACACACTCTCTCTCTCTCTCTCCCCATCCCACCCCCCACACCATCATCACGGAAAGCCAAAGCAGGAGCCTGGAGGTAGAAACTAAAGCAGAGGCATGAGTGAATGCCCATGAAGTCCAGAATATATCAGTTCCCCTGAATCTGGAGCTCTAGGCAGTTGTGAGCCACCTGGTGTGGGTGCTGGGAACTGAACTCAAGTCCTCTGGAAGTGTCTAATAGCTGAAACAAACCCTTTCTCCCTACACTGTTTCTGGAAAGTGTTTTTTAAAAATCTTAGCAATAGAAAAGCAAAGTAGGTGCATAGAAACTTAATCTGAAAGTAACGTATGTTGTATTATACAATGTTTGATTGCAGCTGTACTGGAACAGTGCTTCCCCAGCTCCACGGTGCACACACTGAAAAGCAGACTTCTGTTCTTCTCCTTCATTTCCCACAGGTCCATGTGCTGAAGACTTGGTCCCCAGGTCATGGTGCTGTTGGGAGGTGGTAGACCATGTGGCTGGTGAAGGATGTAGGTCACAGGAGTATGGCTTTGAAGGGGATGTTGGGATCCTGCACCTTCCTGTCTCTGGCTACCCAGACACAGAGAAGCGCAGAGCAACAGTCATGGACTGAAACCTGACAAACTTTGACCCAAAGAATAAACCTTTTATTATCCTTGTATTATTAAAAAATAACCTTTGTTACCAATAAACCTCTATTGCTGAATTGAATTATCTCAGTAATTTGTTACAGTAGCAGAAAGTCAGCTAACACAAGTGGCCATGGGGTGGGCTCCAAGAGTGCATTTCTTACAAGTTTGTAGGCAATGTTGATGCTGTGGGCTCCTGAAATACATTTTTGGTAGTGTGGTTCACAAGCATGAAGACATCAGAGCACTGAACTGCAAAAGAGAGTGTTTGTAAGCAGAGCCTGGCACAGGTTGTTGAATTGCAATTAAATTGCCAGGCATAGTGCTGCCCTTATGAATAATTATTGGTAAAAATTCTGGTTAAAAGAAAGTTCCCCTTTCCCTTAATTTGCTCAGTATAGCTTTCCTGCAAAAATTACCTTGTGTTCATGTGTGAAATAAAGCTGAACTCCAGACAAATTTTCTACCTACAGGAATGTCCAGTAGATCTTTACAATGGGACTTCCATAGATCATTACAATGAGATGGTTCTTACAAGGAACCATCTACCTCCTGGCATTTAGGATACTTAGCATCATCTAAACTTGCACACTAAATGTCCATAGCGTGGTAAGTCATGGTGACAACCAAAATCTGACCCAGAAAAAATTTCCTAAGTGCTTTGGGGTACAATGTGGGATCTACAGTGTATAAGTTAAGGCAGACTGGACGTCTCACTTTCCTAATGAGCAGTCATGGCAGAAACCCATTTAAGGGCTTGGCAGACTTATCAAGGGTGCTATAGGTGCACAGAGACACCTGGATCCACTCTGACCTTGGGTTACATCTTTTTGCAAGGGATAGAAATGCTGCTTCAAACCCATCTAGGAAAGGGCTCAGCTGGAATACAGCACCTCTTTCAAGTATGCCTGAGTCTACAGATCAGTTGGGGTCTTGCTGAAATGTACAGGGCTATGGTAAGTCTGAGTGGAGGTACCTAAGTGCCTGCATCTCCAATACGTGCATAGCTGTAGTTGCTGCTGCCTCTTCCACCTGCCCCACCGGCTCTGAATATCAAGAGACAGAGCACCTGATTTGGTGGGAATGCCATTGTAGTTTGAAACATCACTGACACCGAGATAAGCCTAGGGCTTCCAAGACAGGAACCACCTTTCAGATCTTTCCTTTCCCCATGTCATAGTTTTCCCTTCTCTACCATGTGTCACCTCTGGGGTTGATGAAGGCTGGAATGCTGAATTTGATCTAGCTGGTCTTCAGGGGCCTGGGTGTGGTTTTATCTCCTCTGGAGTAGGAACAGAAAGAGTAACAGTGACTTTAAATGTCAGTTGAAGGTTTGATGACACAGCGTAACTAACAAAGACCTATTTATGTCACCCAAAGATTTAAATAGTTGTCCTTTAACATGCTGTTCATGAATATTTGGAAGTCAGATTGAAGGTACTATCAAATTAAAATAATTACTTGCTGACGATTGAGGTTTTTCTCTTTGAAATTAAACGTTATTAAGGAAAAATTATTTGGTTCTAGAGCCGAGAATACAGAAACACAAACAGATGCTATAAATTCTAGAATGAGAGCAACCTCGAGAGCAGCATTAGGGAGGTACTTGCTCCCACAGATTGTGCAAGTGCATGGCCCACCCCTGGGGAGTGAGAACCATGAAAATGATTCATGAAAGAAAACTCATGCTACCAATTTCAGGGAGGGTGTTCTACTCACCTGGATGAAGATCTACGAGTCTGTTTGATTGCTACTTATAGGGACACTGTTTTTTATTAATTAGTTTTGACGCTGACCACAACAAACTCCATTTATAGCCCCTCCAGATCCCTTTCCATGGTAAGCATGGAACCCAGGATCTTCTGCATGCTAGGCAAGGATTTTCCTTCTGAGCCACACACCCAGTATCCTATGCCATGCCAGATAGTATCTCAGCGACACACAGAAAATTCTCAATCATTCTCCAGCAGACTTCCTAGTCCATGTTTCTAAAGCTTTCTTCTTGGCCTTCTTACAGGTATAATAATATTATTTGACCACACAATAGCACAGCCTGGATGCTTCCTATTTTGAAGGGAATGAGTCTAATGAATAAAAATAGACAAAACAATCCAAACAGAACATAAGAGTCAAAATCACAAACCAGTACCCTTCCCCTGAACAGGACATGTAGTCATGATTAAGCCATGAAACCTTTATTTTTGGAAGGGAATTAGATCCCAGAAGCCAAAACCAACACTTGAAGTCTTGCCTGCGCCCTGCCTGGTTCCCCTGGATTTGCTACAGACTTGCAGGCCGGTTGCACCTGTATCTACAGGGTTGAAGGGCGGTCATTCGGGATGTGGTGGTCATTCGGGATTAGGTAACAGCGCGTTGGCAGGACTGAAGCTCAGAATGGGGCATCAAGGGGTCATACAATGTTCATGTGGCTGAAACAAAGTTTATTTCACTACAATGTGTTGCCTAGTGATGTACTACCACCTAGAAACAATTCAATTTATAGAAAGCTAGCATACGAATGATAACAAAGCAAACAAAACCCAATGCCCCTTGCCCGCACCCTCTGGTTCACACTTTCTCTGTAGGTAGCCTTTCCCTTGGCAGTGGCACAAGGCTCCATGCTTAGGAAGGTTCTGGCTTCGCTCAGAGCTCCTCTGTTACCTTAGATTCTTAATTACTTTAGACTGGTGTCCAGTGAATTTTATTGTTTTGTTTTTGTTTTTGTATATGTGGCTGAGTACTGGTATGTGCAGGTATGCAGCTGTGTAGACTACTGGTTCCTCTTCTGTCATTCTCTGCCTGCTCCTATAGCAGCGTCTTATCGGTGATCCTATAATGGTGACCGGAAAGAGCGAAGCGTGAAGCTTGGTATTGCTTGAGTGGTCTCTTTCTATTGGGTCATTCGATTCAATAGGAAAGGCAGAGAAGTGCTCTCGTGGTTCTTCTTATTATCCGTGTAAGTGTTCCCCAATAAACACCCACCTGTCATTTATCTTGGGTCCAGTGAAATCTTTACACCCTCGCCTTCATGTTCGTTTGTGGCAGCGCCTCTTCTTGAATCTGGGGCTTTCTCTAGGTTATATTAGAAGCCAGCAAAACCTGCCAATCCTGTCTCCAGCCCAGTCAGAGCTGGGGTTGGGTGTTTGCCGAACCACGTGACATGCCGCACAGGCGCTGGAATCAGAATTGTAGTTCTCGGGATTGTGGAGCAGACTCTTGTAACTGCTGAGATGCTCCAGCTCCTTCATTTTCATTTAGTTTTTAACCATACCAGTGCACAAACCCAGCTTGTGGTAGACATGTAATCACCCGTCACCTACATCTATAACACTTTCCGGCCCTGGCCCAGGCATGTGATTTCTCTGGCATTGATCTCTAGGACCGGAAAACCCACCAGGGAGTTTCTTGGCTCAATATACCTGTTGTTATACTTTTTCAATTCAGCTTGAGCTGGCTTACTGTGTCGGTGGAGAAATGTATTATCAGGGGCATAAACCTATTAATAACATTGATAATACTCTCTCTGAATTAAGAGTAAACTATAGGGTAAAGAGCTTGTTTTAAAAAGCTTACCAAAATATGTAATGTTCTACATAATTAAGAGAACAGAATTAATTCACTACGCAATAAAACATTTTGACCTTTTATATTTTTAGAGAATATATGGCTATTAGTAGTATCACATGGTGACATGGATACAACAGAGATGTTATCTTTATTCTTAAAATAAGATAATTTATTACTATATTAAAATCTCATTATTCTTGGCATTACCAATTTAAAATTTGTGGTAATTTGGAAAGCAATTTAATTAAGATTCCTCTTTGTTTTACTGAGAGAGAAAAAAGTTAATTTCTAAGTGAGGGAATGATGTAAGTCAGAGTTTCAGAGATGTTTATGCACTGTAGGGAATAAATAATTCAATGAACTCCAGTAATTGAGCTTGTGCAGACCCAAACAAATGGCTCTGCAGCTGGGCCTGTGGCTGCTTAGCCTGAGGCTCTGATTTGCTAGTTCAAGGAATTCCACCAGGGTCATTTCCCAAGTCTGACAATTAACCCAGTGTAGTTGGCTCATAACCACGACACCCCAAACCAGCGGTTCCCAACCTTCCCAGTGCTGTAACCCTTTAACACAGCGCCTCATGCTGTGGTGACCCCAACCATAAAGTTAGTTCTGGTGCTACTTCACCACTGTAATTTTGCTACTGTTATGAATCATAATGTGAATATTTGCATTTTCCGACAGTCTTAAGTGACCCCTGTGAAAGAATCATTCACCCCCCCAAGAGGTCTGTGACCCACGCGTGGGGAGCCATTTCCCCAGAGCCTCCTTTCCTCAGAAACAGTGCACTACCAGGGCATCACTCCCTCATCTTCCAGAAAGGCTCTGGTTTAAATGCCCAGCAATTCACTTTTACCCTGGAAGCTAAAGTCCACACTCTCAGGATAAATTTAAGAATCGCTTCAGTGTTCCTAAGTGCTTGGATGTGACCTTTATGAAACAAAGTGCATTCCAGGATTCACAAGGCATGTAGATTCCCGTGGAATGTCTCCTCCTGCTGCAAGAAACTGCATATGATTGCCCAGTGATGCCTAGGCTGTTGGCACTTAACTGAGGACAGAGGCAATGCTGGGCTGCCTGGCTGTCAGGCCTTGCTCCGGGAAGGTCAGATTTTAGACGGTTCAATAGACGACACAGACTACTGGTCTGATAGTTCCGTTTTAATCTTGTCTTTGACACTCCTGTGACTTGGACAAACTCTCATCTTTTTTTGAGGCCAGTTTCCATGTCTTATGCCACCAAAGGTTTCTCCCTGAAGACACTAAGCAGTGGGCTTGAATAGTATTCTACAATTCCAGAAAAGACAAGGGGTTTCTGTGGGGAGACATGGGGGGTTGTGGTTGAAGGGATTGGAGGTGGAGGTGTGTAGTCAAGAAGGTGGCTTTCATGAGACCCTTCTCCAGAGGAGAGAATCCACAGTCATTTTGATGGTCATAGTGGACAGCTGGCCACTCCTGCCCCGACTGGGGTCACATTTCTGTGACTTTGTGGGCTTTCTGTTTTCTCCTTGCCC